GTAATATATATATATACATAATTAATTACCTTTAGGCCTGGCTGCGGTCTGAAGTTCTATACCAGACCACTAATATATACATAATTAATTACCTTTAGGCCTGGCTGCGGTCTGAAGTTCTATACCAGACCACTAATATATACATAATTAATTACCTTTAGGCCTGGCTGCGGTCTGAAGTTCTATACCAGACCACTAATATATACATAATTAATTACCTTTAAGCCTCGCTGCTGTCTGAAGTTCTATACCAGGACCCCTTTTGGGTTACTTCTCTTCCATTACATTCCACAAATCTTGACTGTTTTCTTACGCCCACATTCCGATACAAATATTGTTCTTGACGGAATCTTAAGAACACGCTGATACAACATTTTAAAACTGAGAAGTAATTTAAACACAAGAGATTATTTCGGTTTCTTTCCAGATGTGTAAGCACCAGGTCACTCAATGTTCTGATACAAGTGCATCCACGCAGCTATAAACGGGTGGAAAGTCACAAGAAGAGAAACGTGTGGAAAGACGGAATCATACAGTTAATTCATTTGTTTCCCACTGTTTAATAATTCCCTACAAACAAGTGTAACATATATTGTTGATTTTGTCGTTTCATTGACATTCTAGGTGGTCAAAACTCCTTTTCTTCCTCATAAAAATCCTTCCAACAGATCCTCATATGTGTATCTGGGCAACCGCCATGGTGTATCCCTAATCAATACTACGCTCCCTCTGATTTCTCACTACGACAAGGAGAAAGATGCACGAGGTTACCAAGTTGCTCGCAGTCTTACTGCCTTACAGTCGACAACACCCGGATCGCTTGCTCTGCCATCTAGTGATAAGCTTTCGTGATGAATTGTTTATTTATTTTCCAAGATGAAAAACTAACCATTTTATGTACAATGTTAATTGCATAGTTATAACTGGCGCATTCAGCTGTAAGTCCACGGACTTACAACGCTAAAATCTAGAGTTCGACTTTCCGTGTTGGACTACCCAAAAACACATTCCGACGTAGTAATCGCTTAGCTAAACAAAAGCTTTAGCCTATAGAGGGCGTTTCGCCATGTGCTCGTGTTACGATTACAATAGATTCCAATCAGACACAAACGTCGTCCATTTATATATGTAATCCAGAAACATGCAGTTTCCAGTAAAATCTGCTCGACCTAGTTTTATTTGACCCAATACGATCTCTCGACCTTCCTTACACAATCCTCAGCATTAATTCGTTATTTTGACCTGCGCGCGTGTCCTCGACCTGAAAAGTTTCTCTACGTGTTTTTTTTTTTTTTTCCTCACACTCTACTTATATGATTTCAAGAATAAATAACTATTAACTTATCATTATGAATTATTCAGTACAAAAGCCGCTTGAAATACATATGATGGCCAGTCACTATTCGATTCACTACGTTGCCGAATTACACCGGCTTCGTGCCATTCCATCTCTTATTAATACTCCCTCCACGAGGGAAAATTTTGAATAACAAGAGTAGGCTTCTTATTGATGACGTATTAGTAGTATTTCCCGACACTGTTATAACTCGGCGACTAAGTGGTCTTTATTTTTTGTAATCCCCTGGATTATTTCACTTTGATCAGAAACATTTTGTGTATATAAAAAAAAAATCGTTTCGTCATCCTTACATGTCAAATAGTCAGGAATCATTTATTTTTATTCTTATCTGAAACCATCCGCTGTAGTATCGTAACTTTCTCGCAAGCTTGGCCTTGTTTCGTTACTTAAATTTAAATAATTTTCAAATGTCTAGTTTCGTTTGGTCATTTTATATTACTTAATACACCTAACAAAAAGGAGTCATTTCGTTACTAACACACACACACGCTTGGCTTTTGTAGGCTAAAACTATTTTAGAAACATTGTTGGATTACTTTTGCACACTATTTTAATATTCCCAAATATTCTTTATAGTAATGTCTTTTTTTTCTTCCTTATTTTTACTGTTCTGGTGTGTAGAAGAGAGAATTGATTTCCACAAGTCATAAATATAGTGTTCCAATTTTGGCCTCCGCATTTTATTCTCTAAACACAGCTAGATGGCAGTCGTTATCACCCAAGAAACCAATAACATCTCAAATGATTAAACGATACACAGTGTAGAAAAAAAATGGATCTTAATATCGTCTGTTTGATTATATTTTTCTTGAAAACAATTAAAGGAGAATTTTTTATAACAGACATCTGTCACAACAAGATTTTTGTGCGAGTCCTCTATCAGTCCTAGGGTTGCTGCTTTTTTAAGCACATTTTTCTAAGCCTTTTTTGCACCAGTTTGCTTACGAGTCCATGACACTTTTGTTACAAGATCCCTAACAAAACATTAACAAGAAAAATGGAACCAAAAATACCAACAAAGTTACAATTACTACACAAGTTTCCTGGGTATTTTACGTATAAAAATTAGTGCTTTCAGTGTTGTGACAGACAAAACAGAAAAGTACCCAATATGTGGGCCCTGCTGGTTGTAAATGGTATGTAAACAAGTACAGTGTTGTGACTACTTGTTTACATACCATTAACTACCAGCAGGGCCCACATATTGGGTACTTTTATGTTTTGTCTGATACAATACTGTACTTGTTTACGTACCATTAACTACCAGCAGGGCCCACATATTGGATACTTTCATGTTTTGTCTGATACAATACTGTACTTGTTTACGTACCATTCACTACCAGCAGGGCCACATATTGGGTACTTTTATGTTTTGTCTTAGCATTGTGACAGACAAAACATGAAAGTACCAAATATGTGGGCCCTGCTGGTAGTTAATGGTACATAAATAAGTACAGTGTTGTGACAGACAAAACATAAAAGTACCCAATATGTGGGCCCTGCTGGTAGTTAATGGTACGTTAACACATTGATAGTTTCAAGATATGTTACAGCCTCCAGTAGCTTAACAGAACAAGTTATTTTTAATTACTTTCAATATTAATTTATTTACCTTTAGAAAAAAAAAGTTTACTTTAGGTAGGTTTAGTTATGACCAGTACCACAGATCCATAATAGAAACATACAGGAGTTGTTGTTGTTTTTTACATTACACAATAAAACAGAAACATAAAAATAATCAACTTTTCTTTTATTTCAGAAAGAAATGGCCATTACACCTAACAGCTTTATTTCACAGTAACTCTAGGAGCAGCTTGACGAGCACCCATGTCCTAGAAAAGATAAAAAGCATTTTTAACACCCGAGAGAGAAAATGTTTATAACTTGAATAATCTGGTGATTTTTCTCACAAACTGTTGATCCAATGTCAATGTTAAAAATATTTGTTCCACAGTCTTATTCTGGACTGTTGGAAATGTAAATCTTAAGCTCTGAGCATCAACATTTCTGAGTATAGTATTTGCCATTTAGGCCTAAAGCTAAAACATTAGGTTTAACTTAAATGTAACTAAAAGTATCAAATTATGTTCTTTTATATTCCATTCACTAATATAGTTTTCCTAAGACCACAAAATACATGAAAATCTGTTTACAATGTGTAATTTTTTAAAACCTTTTTTTTAGTAAACCTAATAATGAAATGAAGTATTGGCACATTTGAAGTACAACTAAATAACAAACGAAACATCACATAAATTATTAATAAAGGTTTTCAATAGTATTAATTATTAAGTAATATGAATTTCATGATTACACTGACTCGCGATATTGAATAAACTTCACAGCTGAACAATATTACATAACCTTTTAACTTCACCTATGCGGCAACTAAAACTCTAAGCCTGGTCTTTCTGGTAGTTTCTCAATAAAGAAAGTGTACCTGGTGTGTGCATTTTGAGACAATACTGTACAGGCAAACCGTTAACCATAATTCACTGGTTGCTCTTTTTTCAACCAACATAAACATTTAATAAGTATTTTTATGAAACATGTAATCCAATAAAATTCTCTGTACTTTCCAGATACGTTTACTTTGTTGTAACTAAGATGTTAAATGCTAACACTAAGTTACTAACTGAGATTACAACTTCAAGAAGAATCATGAGGGCAGTTAAAGGTTTACAAAAGTGTAATTAAAACACAACATCTTGTTTTATTAGTTCCTCATCTCCACTTTAGTAGTTACTTAAGATAAACATTCCAGTTGAATTTCACGTTTCCTACAAACAAGCTTAGTTAGGACTAATGTTTTCTCTCCAACAGCAAAGCTGTCGAGTTTAAGCCCTAGTTAAGACTGAGTGTCAATGTTAAAAATATTTGTTCCACAGTCTTATTCTGAACTGTTGGAAATTTAAATCTTAAGCTCTGAGCATCAACATTTCTGAGTATAGTATTTGCCATTTAGGCCTAAAGCTAAAACATTAGGTTTAAACATTGCTTAGCAAATCTGAAAAAAAAATGACCAACATTTTGGATCGCACATCAGCCACATTCAACTCCTCTGATCTAAACAATCCTTACACTCTTATTGTAATTAAAATAATTAATTCTTAAGTAAGAAGAAACAGACTTGCACTACACTCTTGGAATTTACAAGCTACCCGACCACTTTATTTTACACGAACTACAACTGAACGATTAAAAGAAAACATTCAATACTCACTCCTAGGGGCGGCCTAAATCTTGGAGGTGGTGTGCGATCCTTACGTGCCTCCCTGGATCTGTTCCTCACAATTTTGGAGTGAATTGCACAAGAGACGCAATAGTGAAGTTTAGCATACAGCTTTGGTAGAGCATATGCTGAAAAATAAGTTCAACAATAACAACACTTAGAAAATGATGTACACTGCTGTAAGCAGAGTGTATATGATGCACACAGCTGTAAGCACAGTGTACATAGGATTTGTAGACAAATTTTATCTCTTAACGAAGACTTACATTTGATAACTAAGTAGTTAATTTCACATTAGTTTCTTAAAAGAAATTAACAACTAAGTAGATGTAGGTGTTCCCCGGTGTTGATAAATTGAATAATACACTCAGTGGACTGACCCCAGTAACATGTGTATGGCCTGCTACAATAAATGCAGTTAACATAAATGTTTATCTTGGCGTATTGTTGGACAGAACCAGCCTTCATCTATTACAAACTTGTATACTGTTTAACAGAAATTACTTTGTCCATGGTAGAAAGGCTTAATTACGAAGCACTTCAAAGTGTTGACATTCATTCCAGACTAGGTATATGGTAAGAAAATTTGGCTGTCTGTACTCTATCTACAGCAGGGAACCGAACACCGGATTTTAGCTATGTAAGTCCGTAACTTACCATTGACCCACCAATCAGCACCGGCAAAAGTATCAAAAAGCAGGGAGGTACAAGCCACGGAAAATACTGTTACTAGTATACTCTCAAAATAAAAGTTAACTTTTTGTTTTTATAAATATTAGTGTATTAAATAGATGTAGAAAACACCGTATACATAGTAAGTCAAATATTTTTAATACAATATTGCTCAAAAGTGTTCGTATAGATCTTTGTTCCTGAATTTGTATAATAAGAATTATTTTGCATGTTCACTTAGTATATGGATTTAGGACTCGCCGAAATCTCTCTCAAGCTAACCAAATGTTCACTTAGTATGTGGATTTAGGACAAGCCAAAATCTCTCTCAAGTTAACCAAATGTTCACTTAGTATATGGATTTAGGACTAGCCAAAATCTCTCTCAAGCTAACCAAATGTTCACTTAGTATGTGGATTTAGGACTAGCCAAAATCTCTCTCAAGCTAACCAAATGTTCACTTAGTATGTGGATTTAGGACTAGCCAAAATCTCTCTCAAGCTAACCAAATGTTCACTTAGTATGTGGATTTAGGACTAGCCAAAATCTCTTTCAAGTTAACCAAATGTTCACTTAGTATATGGATTTAGGACTAGCCAAAATCTCTCTCAAGTTAACCAAATGTTCAATTAGTATATGGATTTAGGACTAGCCAAAATCTCTCTCAAGCTAACCAAATGTTCACTTAGTATATGGATTTAGGACTAGCCAGAATCTCTCTCAAGCTAACCAAATGTTCACTTAGTATATGGATTTAGGACTAGCCAGAATCTCACTCAAGCTAACCAAGTGTTCACTTAGTATGTGGATTTAGGACTAGCCAAAATCTCTCTCAAGTCAACCAAATGTTCACTTAGTATATGGATTTAGGACTAGCCAAAATCTCTCTCAAGTTAACCAAATGTTCACTTAGTATATGGATTTAGGACTAGCCAGACTCTCTCTCAAGCTAACCAAACCTTGTGAAATGTTACTGGGATTTGTGCCAAAAATATCAACAAGAGAAAGTGACCAACTGACCAATCAATACATTCTAATCATTAACTATTAAGATAATGGCATACAAAAGTCAATAAAAGCCCTGGGGCAAGAATATTTTGCCCCATCTCTACAGCCCAACACTACTGTTATACAAGTAAAAAAAAAATATATATATACATTCAACCATAAGAAATAAAATAAATGAATTTTTTTTTGTGAAACACCTACCCCCCCCCCATTAATGTTATACTGTATGCTCAAGTCCCCCTTCCCACATTTTATGATGTACTTTTTCTAAGTACCAGTGACCTTTTAACAATGAACTATGCCCCACAACCTTCAAAAATTAATCAGGTCTAATATGTCCACAAGGTTTGGGGGAAGATTTTTCTATGTACCAGTGGCCTCTCGCTCTTCAAAAGCTAAACATGTCTAGAACTTTGTATGTAGTAATTGTTGTACAAGTTTGTGATGGGTGGACAAACGAACAGAGGTAAACCATGTTTACGCTCTAGATGTCGACTCTTAAGAGACCTCAAAGTTTGTCATGCTGGTTCCTTCTTAGTTGGACCTTCCAAAAGTTTCAACTGTGTATCCGGAAATCTTTTGAGTCTCAGATTTGTTCATTTTGTGTACCTTACAAGTGGGTCCTTTTACACCATCAGATGGGCCTCTGGGCATAGAAAGTACTTTACATGACTCTAGAACTGGGCAATTAGAAGAACTTGATAACTGATTAATCATTAGGCTAAATAATCAATTAAATTCAATTTACTTATTATTTTAATGACAATTGGAATAATCATAAAATTATTGGAAACTAATGTTAATTAATTTATCATTTTCATGACATAAGTAGATTTAATTGTAATTGCTATATATATCCATTAATTTAAAAGACAATAATCAAGGTAATTATCCAGCTCTATATATATCTCACAAGCAGACCTTTTATGAGTTGATTCAGGCAACTACCCCACTTATATGTTTGCCACTTAAGTAAAAACAGTACATTAAATTTCTTATGTTAATCACTAGGTAAATTTTTTTAGTTCTGATCTATGTAGGTAGCTTGCTTTAGTCAGAAGTTAATTATAATACCCGTAATGCTGAAATTGGTACAAAAAGTTTCATATTTTCCAAGAACTTTACTAAAAGAGACAGAGAGAGAATCAAGAAAAAAATAATATTCTATGTGAGAAATACGGAGAGTTTTGAATGATCCTAGTACTAATACGTCCAATCACAGACTACCTCCAGGAAAAACTGTGTAATTTCAGACTGGACACTTCTCTACCAGTTTCACAAAACAATGAAAACACTTGTGTAGCATACAAATCACAGACTACCTTCACGTAAAACTGTGTAATTTCAGACTGGACACTTCTCTACCAGTTTCACAAAACAATGAAAACACTTGTGTAGCATACAAATCACAGACTACCTTCACGTAAAACTGTGTAATTTCAGACTGGACACTTCTCTACCAGTTTCACAAAACAATGAAAACACTTGTGTAGCATACAAAAATACATTTTTGTTAACGTGTAGAATGAAAACAGACGGATACTGCAATGTGCATATTACTATGCTTAGCTAAGCTTTTGCTAGAAAAAAAAATATTAATATTCAATACTAACCGGTAGCAAGTGGTAGAAGAACATTCTAATAAGTTAGCGAACTTACCTTTCATGAGGCGTTTAAATCCATTATCTTGTCCATATTATGCAATATTTTATATTATATAAAAATGTGAAAATTTTTTTTAATTAGTCTGTAGTTGAGAAAGTTGGAAGTGAACTGTATGTTCACCGAAATAAATTACTTGTTTCCTATTGGTTTGTATCAAATAAGAATACCATTTCTGATGGTCTTAGTGAAACATGAAAAAAAAACGGTTTTTACGGGTTCCGAGTTATTTTAACTTTTAGTTAGTTATATAAACAGGGCTGTTGTTTGGTTTCCACTTAGACATAACAATATTTTGAGTATACATCTGGATCTTTAACTTAATGACCATTACGGGTCCCGAGTTATTTTAACTTTTAGTTAGTTATATAAACAAGGCTGTTGTTTGGTTTCCACTTAGACATAACAATATTTTGAGTATACAACTGGATCTGTAACTTAGTGACCATTACGGATCCCGAGTTATTTTAACTTTTAGTTAGTTATATAAACAAGGGCTGTTGTTTGGTTTCCACTTAGACATAACAATATTTTGAGTATACAACTAGATCTGTAACTTAGTGACCGTGGATAATTCAGTCTAGTTACTTGTTCGGATTGTTAATCAAGCATCAAAAGCAAGCTTTAAATCAGAATCACTCGTCATTCTTGTTACTGAAAATCAAACTGTAATTATTTCATTAATATAGTCAAAAACAGTAAAACCTGCTACGTCTCAAAGAAAAACTACAGAAGCAAATATATATATAAACCTACACAATAAACCATAAAGGATTACTTGAAGTAATAAAAACATTCTGAAACTTCTATAACCATTTGCTTCTTAAATCAAAGTAGAGTTGAGCAATTACTGAAATTTGTTAATTAATCATCAGACTCATTAATCTGTTATATTCAACTAATTGTTCTCACACAAAACTTGGATTGCTGGAATAATCAAAAAGTCATTTTCTTTGTTGATTATTTTCTTGACATCAAATGATTTAATCATAATTTTGATTATTTTTTGCAACACTGATATAATCAAAGGTCCCAGATATTCAATTCATCAAATTAACTGCCCAGCTCTAATTGAAATATTAGCATAAGTATGGAACAGAATTGAGGGAAAAATAAAACAGACAATTGTATGTTTCACAAAAACTTAAATTTATAAACAACCTGATGATGGGTCGTTAATAAATGAAGTTTTTGTGAAACGTAAAATTGTCTTTGTTTATCCATCAACTCTGTAATAATGGAGTTTCACCAAGTACTAATGGTTTCATGTACCAATTATACAAATGTAGTAAATATGTCACAGTTAACTTACTATCATATACACTAGCATCAGTAATATCTCTCACTGCTGCAGCTTCAACTATGTTTCTAATCACAAACTTTTTAATGGCCTTGTCTTTTGGGACACACCGTGCACAGTTAGTACATCTTACGGGCTTCACGTGCCCACGGCCATGCTTGCTTCTTCCGTTATTACGTCTTTTGGAAGTCTAAAAAAAATTTCATAAACATACTTAATTATTCTGTTCTTACATAATACAATTCACCTTTAACCACTACATTATACAAATACATCAGTGTAGTATAAAACTTACTGCATCACCAAGATCTGGTAAAACTAACAAGTGAATTAACCACTACATTATACAAATACATCAGTGTAGTATAAAACTTACTGCATCACCAAGATCTGGTAAAACTAACAAGTGTCTTAACCACTACATTATACAAATACATCAGTGTAGTATAAAACTTACTGCATCACCAAGATCTGGTAAAACTAACAAGTGTCTTAACCACTACATTATACAAATACATCAGTGTAGTATAAAACTTACCGCATCACCAAGATCTGGTAAAACTAACAAGTGTCTTATCAGCTTTTACATACAGGGATTTGCAGTAAGAAATCTAACGTCACTGTGAAAACAATTAGTAACTTATGGGTAGTTTTATATCGCACTGATAACCAAGGTAAATGCTATACGTTAACAATACACATTCCCATTCTAACTCAAATGTTCCTTCTAATTTTTTCAATCCATGTGCAGAATGTATTCTTTCATGTTCACCAGTATCAAGGCAATGTGCAGATGTGTGCTACCATTTTTTTTTTTTTATTTGGGGTGGGTGTTTTTAGACCATCAACCCTATTGTATTATTAGGTCGCTTTGCAGTTGGTTATTTGGGCTTTAGGCCTATCAACTGCCAGGGTCATTAAGGCCATCAACACGTTGAGACTCCTCACTATTATTGAGGATGTGCATGGCACTTGAGTGATTGTTGTGAAGTCATTTATAAATGTGGACTGTCATACCACTTCTTACAATATTCATTTCATTAACAGATAGCCAATCTTAGAACCATTACCAATGCACAGCTGACATTAACTTCTACAAAAACGTCATTTTAATGAAACATTAGAATTTTTCATCATTACACTAAACGTCCTTTGTACACAAAGGTCTTATATTAGTTATAAACAATACTTTTAATTGACAAAACATAACAGTGCAACGTATCTATGTAACAGACTTAACATTTAATACATAACATACTGTTTGCAAACTCCACTTAAAGTGTAAGTGTTTGGCATTCTTTGACTGTATTAGCATATCATGTTTAAAGAATACTAAATATGTTTACAATTACAGAACCCTTACGTACTATATCACAATTAATAGTTACAATTATTAATGGTGTAACATTTCACTTTCAATCCAACAACTTGTATAATTAACTTAATTAACCGTTACATATATATACTATAGTGCCATCAATCTCCCAACAATTAACGAAATTACTAGAAGTGGATGTTCGCTCAATTAAGTGCAGATTAATGCTACTACTAGTATTGATTTCCAAATACTACCAAAATGTTCAAGTACTTAAGTATACACATTTTGTTCTAGTAATCCTTCCCATACCATTGAAAGTACCAACTGAAGAATGACAATAAGAAATTCGGTGTTTTTAACAAAGTTTGAACGACACGACAATTGGATTGAGCCTAGCCACGTGTTTCATTCCACACAGACATATTTAGTTAAACCTAAAATTGAAATGGAATGAGGTGTTAGTACATTGTCCTGAGGTTGAAATGTTTAACGTGGATTGACGAAATATAAAAAATACGAATTCAACTTAAATTTATACTGAAACAAAAGTTATGCGTCGAAATATTATATTTTTACATTAACAAATAATACATTTATAAACTTAACTTATGAAGGACTCATCACTTCCAACAAATTCTTACCATAATTGTTCGTGTCCACCATGAAAGAGGAAAGTGTTTGATGTGTTCACCACTAAGCAAATAAAAAGTAGTTCGGCTGTCACATAAATTCTAAGCTAAAAAGAAAATAAAACAAATATGTACAGCAAAATATATAAAAAATTACTTATACTTTTATAATGTATACAGACAGCTCAACTTATTTTCGCGAATTTAAAAACAACATCAAAACTAGCTTTGAACTTTTTGTTTACTCGCAGAAAAGAAAAGCTTAATTGTAGTACACAAATTTCAATAAGGAACCGTTTACAAATTGCACTGATATAGTAATTAACCTTTCTGTATCTATTTACATATGCTTTTACGCGAGTAGAAAAGGCGATTTGAGATGACAATGCGTTATTTTTTTCTCGTATTGTCGGTATTGATGTAGGTTATAAAAATAGTTTATTCAAATAAATTTTTTCTAAGATGAAAATATTTATCAATTAGTGAGAAATTTAAAAAAAAAATTAATATAAAATAATAACAATGCATAAGAGCTAATTTGCTCTTTTACATGGGGATTTTTTAAACTAATTTAAAGTTTGATGACGAGGAACCCACATTGAGACTAATAATGGTTGGAGACGGCTTGAATGGGTAATGAAGAAAAACTTTAATATAAGTTTAACATAACAGCAAATGTACAACGTTTTGTCATCACCAGGTATGAGAACGTGTCTGAAACA